AAATAAATAAATAAAATTAATTATAATAATATAATTACAACTTCATTTTTATTTTCAAAAAAGAAAAAATTATATTATTTTTAAATAAAAAATTAATCATTTTGTCTAATTAACAAATTTTGTTTTTTAAGATAATATATTTTGTAATTATAAATTAATGTACAAAAAAATATTATAATCACTTAATGTTATTAAAGGAAAAAAAACAAAATTGAAATTTATTAGATAATTATTAATTAAAAAATGTGACCACAAATTAAAAAATTAAAATGGATGAATTTGTCAATAAAATTAAAAAATTTTAATCCATTAGTGGTTTGGTACAAAAAGCTACATAAACTAACTTTTTCAATCCGCTAGCGGTTTGGATCCTAACCGTTATCCGCTAGTCTTAAATCGCTATCCGCTATCTTAAACCGCTAAATAAAAATTTTACTAAACACTTTATTTGTAGCGGTTTCGAAATATATAAATTTATCAAACACCTATATTTAGCGTTTTAGGTAAAACCGCTAACCACTATCCGAAAACCGTTATACCAAACGGGGCCTTAATAATAGTAATTACGAGAAATTCAAAAATTACTCAAGTTATTACATGAAATTCCGAAGAAAGTTGGGGAAGTGGCATACAAACTTGCATTGCCACCAAACCTCTCTAGAATTCACAAAGTATTCCATGCTTCTCAATTGAGAAAATATTTTCCAAAAGAGACACATGTGATCAAGATTATTTTTGTTGATCTGCAAGAAGATTTAAGCTGTGAAGAAGAACTAGAAAAGATCATTAACAAGGAGGAGAAAGTTCTAAGAAACGGAGTTAATCCTATGGTTAAGGTAAAATGGCAACTTCACTCTGAAAAGGAAGCTACATGGGAGTTGAAGAAGCAGATAAAGGAGTTATATTCTCATTTGTTTAAAGGTAAGCCATAGATTTGGGGACCAAATCTCTTAAGAAAGGGAGAATGAAACATCCCTATCCGTAAGTGTAAGATTTTGTATGTTATTATCCTTATATTTCAATTTCTTTAAGTTTAGGTAGTTAGGCAAAAACTAAAATTTGGTTTGTAGGTTACATGGTAATTTTAGGCAACTTTACTCAATTTGACAAGTTACCTCTTTGGTAAGTTGCTGCTAAAAAACAATAAAAATAATATGAAATAGAAGATCTAAGTTAGTGAAACTCATTAAAAGTTCACTAACTTTATAAGTATATATATGATTGAAAATAGGACTAAACTCATTTTATATTATTAATTTTCTGGTACCAAGCAGGGGAAAGAAACGGAAAAAGGGAGGTTTTTCAACCCAGAATCGGTAGCATAGTTTGAGGGTTTTTGGAGGAGTTTTAACTAAACTAAGGCCACATTAAGTTTTAGTAATTGTTTAACTTAGACTTAAGAACTAGATTTAAAATTTACAATTACTTGGCAACCTTAGTATCACACAGCATGTAGAGTTTTAAAATGCATATTTTTAGACATGCAATGCTAATTGTGTGTATAAAAGAAAGCACACCTTGATAAAACAAATTTGAACTCTGCCTAAAACCTATGGCTCATTGATTTTGCTCTAAAAACAATGTACATTAAATAAGAAAACACCGAGTGCTGCTGTAAGGAGACTCTGTTTTGTACAAGCAGTTTGTAAAGAAAATCAAGTTAATATGTGAATGACATGACAACTATGCTATTTCCTTTTGTTTACCAGAATTAAATTGTCCAGGCCACGTGTTTTCTACTCATTTTTAAGTTCGGGTTGTAAATATCCAATATAAATCCTCTCAATGAAATGTCTTTTGAGATTTAGGTTTCCAGTAATGTTTGTTAACTAGTTCGACTAGCAATTTTTCTAAGCACCAAACTTATTTATGTTCTTTCATGGAGTTCCCATATCCAACAGCTCCTTAATGTGGTGAGAGGCTTTGAAAAAAAAAAAAAAAAAAACCTTTATAAACTTAGCCTAATGGATTTACTTATATACTGTGATGTAACACTGACTAATTCTATCATCCTTAAAAAGGCAAGATTAACACTGATAAATTTACAACAAAAATCACGAGAGAAAACTGAACTACATAAAATGGTGAATAAAAAGTGCTTTAGCTCCGGTAACAACTTGGGATTCACAAAGGGTTCGATGAATTCAAAGTAGTTGAAATACAAACTCCGGCAGTAAAAATGAAAAATAAAGTAAAATAAAAAAGGAAGAAAGAAAGAAACCACCATAATCTCTTTCAAAAGTCAGGAATACAATCTTGAAATTAAGATTCATAGGGCTAGCAAGAGCTACTAACACGCATCAGCTTACAAGCATTAACGTCTTCTAGTTCCAACTTCAGACGCAGCTACCCCGCTTTTCTTTCACCACTTCCAACTTATTTATATCTTGAGTCGTCAAACTATTTTATGCAAACTCCAATTTTTACTCCAAGCATCAGTTATTTCCAGGTGCAGAGGCAGGAATCATGTTAAGAGCCTTCATTATAAAAGCATATGTGAAGGCATCTTCCTTAAGCTTCTCAAATCTGCATCCAACAGAAGAAATCACATTAAAGTTATTTCTATACCTTCTGTAACAAATGGTTTGGATAAGATAAAGGAATTGTGCTTCCCTCTCCGTATAGGAAACAGACCAAGGCTGAATCTTTATGAGATAGATTCATAAAACTCATGGTCAATTACCTTTAGAAGAATTGAATACATTATAATCCAAATGAACTTTGTTATTTATTTATTTACTTTTTTATTTTAAAATTCAAATTCAAATTTGCAGATTTTTATATCAGACAGCGTAAAGCCTAAAACATAGTCATTATAAGGCAAAACCAAGGCTTTCATTACCCTCAAATCCTTCACATTCATACTTATCAACCACATTAAAAGATTATCCTCAAAGAAAATAAACCAGTTATAGAGTACACTGCTAAAAAGATAAGCAGAACAAAACAGAGACTAGTAGATACAGTAACTAGAAGAGAGAATTATTACCTCCCTGACTTTGAAAAATGGCCAGCACCTAATTCACATTTAAATAACAGCAGATTACCATCTGTTTTCATGGCCCTCAGTTTTGCTACAAATTTAGCAGACTCCGAATACATAACTCTAGGATCTGTGACAATGATGTGAGTTCAAAATTCAATAGTGAAATACAGGTGCCAAACATGGAAAATGTTAAATTCCTCAAATAATTCTGTAAGCAACAGAAAAATGTCACGCCTGACTCTACAGTTTGAAAATCCAAATATTAACTATGACCCAACGGTTTTCTTTTTTTTTTTTTCTCTTTAACGGCAATAATTTGCAAATGAGTTCTATGCAACATCAACACACATGAAATGCATTGATCAGTTGAACCAGGTGTTGAGATGCAAGGTCAGCTCATTAAGAAGTTAGGCTCACCCAGAAATTTTAAGAACCATGCTGAGTGTGGGTACTGGAATATTTATTTTGGAAACACGCAACATTGGCTTGTTTACTTTAGTGGGTTTGATTTCAAGTTTGTGCTTAGACCAAACTGAAGGTCAAGTTGTTTAATCAAAGAACTCTCATAAGTTGGAAGCACCTAAGGGCTTGTTTGGTTGGTGGTAACGGCTATTCCTTGCTCAAACTATAAAAACAAGCTTAAATTGAGAATCTTCCTTAGAGAGCTAGGAATAGCCCTAGATTCCTCCAATGTATACAGATTAGGGTACCACTTGTACCCATGGTATAATAAAATTCAATTTTGCCAATCAAAAATCAAATTTCCTTTTATGTTAGCAAAGAATTAAGGAAACCTATTCCTTAAAATAAAAAATATTCCTCATTCATCCATTAGTATAATAGAAAATTATCAATATTAATGTTTAGCTATTTCTAGGCTTCCTAAGGAAGTTTCTCAAATATACCCCCAACCAAACACAACCTAAGAAACAGCCCATTATTTGAACTTTGTCACTTATTTGTCATCAGACCAACCAAACCAGTGCCCCTAGTTAGGGGGTAAGACGTTCAGAGAAAGGAAAAATAGTACCTAGAAGTGACTGGAAATATTAACACTAATGTTTTACCAAGAGCTTTTATAATCAGAGCGAGCTTCAAGTCATCATACTATAAGCAGTTCAAGCCACCTAGGGTCCTATAAGGGCACAACTATAAGTAGTTTCTGCATTGATAATGAGAAACACCAACTCAATGTGTTGATGAGTCATTATATACTGACCATGTAAACCAGCTGTAACCAGGATGTTGGGATAATTTAGAGCCATAACCTGCATTTATAGAATATAAATTTATCAGAACCAAAATATGATAAGAACTTTAGGAAGATGAAAAAATATCCAGGATTGAAAGAACATGATCCAATAAGAAAAGGTTAGTACATCCAAAAAATAAAATAAACAAATAAATAAATAAAACAAAAGCAAATGTCAGCATTCCCATATTCAAGAATTATGGAACAGAACCAAAACATACTGTTCCCATATTATCTTACATTATCAACAGGGGAATATGACTTCATGTAAAAGTAGAACTCTTCCTTCCGAGGGTCACCCCATTCCTGTAATAACAAAGAAATCAACTAGAAGAAACATGTCAAGACCAACAACTAAAATGTGCATGACCAAATGAGAAGCCTTTAGAAGACAGTAAAAATTTTATAGAAGGGAAAATTTTGAGATAGTTTGGATATATACATCAACTATAAACTATGCAATGTCCTGCAGCTAGAAGAGGATGAAAATCCAAGAACCAACATACTTCTAAAGAAAATTAAAAAACCTTTGGGTCCCACGTTTAACTATAAACTATTTCATCTACATGTTGTTCATTGAGTTCCTTCGCTAATCAAGAATAACTGGTTACTTTATAATCTGAAAATTAGTAATTTCTTATATATACAAGATAAGTATGACTGCCATCATAAAAGTCCTTCAAGTACTCAGTGCTGTTCCTCCTTTTCTTCTAGAACTAGAATGATATAAACAAATTCCAATCTCAATAATCTGGATGTAAACTTAGCTAAGCTGATTATTGCATCCCACAATCCAATATGCTCTACTATTTATTAAAAAAAAATTTAACCATTATCAAATAAATCAGATGAACACAATATGACAGGTACACATACATACAAAGCAAGAAACTTTTACAACTATTGGTGCTTGTACAAATGTCACACAAAAAGCCATATCAAGATATTCAACAGTGAATGCTGGGATAAACTTTAAAACATTGAAATAATTGTAACAACAATCAATAAGCAACTTGTATTAACATATTGAGTTATTTCATCGGCAGCTGCGATATGTGATTTAGCAGAATTAGCAATATATTTAGAATTAATCTGCCGTAAGGATTCTGCCGATTAGAGAAGCTGTTTCCATATAACATACAAGCAGCCCAACCAAGTGACTATTTTAGTGGTTATGCAACTAAAAAACTCAAAACCTTAAAAGAGAGAGAAAAAACCTCCCACTCCGAAGTCGTAAGAGGGAGAGTAGGGTCAAGCATTGTAGTCACAACATCTACAAAAGGTACTTGAAGAACAGCAGCCTTGAACAAATCTGGCCTCATGTTAAGAACAGCACCCAAAAGCAATCCTCCAGCACTTCTTCCATTAATCACCAATTTTTCCTTTGTACAGTACTTATTTTCTATCAAAAACTCAGCAGAAGCAATAAAATCAGTGAAAGTATTTGTTTTCTTCAACAACTTCCCATTTTCATACCACTGCCGACCCATTTCACCTCCCCCACGAACATGGGCTATTGCAAATATGAAACCACGATCTAGAAGAGAAAGCCTTGATAACTTGAAGCTAGGATCTATGCAAATCTGTTAACAAAGATAAAAACAATTGATATATGAAACTACGTTATCCAGAATTAGGAAATACAAATTGTCTTGTATGTGTAATGATATAATCTACCCTCTCTTTTTCCCGAAAATGGTCTCAAATAATCTACAAGTTGTACTTTTGCATCTAGGGTCAGAACTTAGCCAATAGACTCTAACATTACCTCATACGAACCATAGCCATAAAGTAATAATGGATCAGACCCATCAAGCTTAACAAGATCCTTTCGGTAAACAATTGACATAGGAATCTGAGTGCCATCTGAAGCAGTAGCCCACTTCCTTTCAGTAACATAATTAGATGAATTGAAACCTCCCAAGACCTGAATAGAAACTAGCAAACAAAGTTACTGCATGAGAAAAATATGACACCAAAGAAAAATTCCAAATTAAATTGTCTGAACCTTCTATTAATCTTTTATTTCTGACCTGCAGAGAAAAAATGGTTCAATATATAAAAATTCATATTGCAAACTCACTGAAGATAAACTTTGATAAAACTCCAGAAGGAGGCTACAAGATCTATGTTCAGATCTCAAAGATTCTCAAGGGACTTAAAAGTTTTTTGAAAGCACACCATAAACATGTCACAAAAAGTACTCGAATATTGTTAATGAAACAGAAAAAACATGGGAAAAGGAGAATGAATAGATAACACATTAAAAAGCCTATAAAAAGGTCTGAAGAATTAAGTAAAGGAACAAAGTCTAATAAAGTGATGACACACGGAAGTGTTTTAACTTAATGTTTGGGATCAAACATTGATGCCACAAAATTTTACTGGATTTGATAAGGAATATTCTCTAGCAATCCTGGAAAAAGTGCAGTGAATATGTTTATATTGAGCATCATCACCAGTACCATTCATGACCTCAGCAAGTTAACATTAAAGCTTACAGTCAATAAAAGCATTGCTCAAATTAATATAATCAAAGCAAGTTAACCATGAAACCAGATTTGTGAGCCATCATGGTTATTACATCAAAATCTTCTACTAATTGCCAAGAATCAACTCGCTACAGCCTACAGGCACACTGCAATACAATGTAAAAGGTAATATTCCACTAGATATACAAATACAATAAGCAACAAATGCGATAACACATGGATAGGAATAACTAACTGTAACCGGCATGAGATCAAGTAAATAGAAGTACAGAGAATTTTGTACAACTTACATTTTCAATCTTCTTCAGAACAGAAACTCCTGTGTTCATATCATAATCATAGACAGAGTGAGGTGTCCTCAGTGAGGAATAAGAAAACCGTAAAATGCTAGAAGAAAACTGTGATTCTGATGGTTCAACTGAATACACGGTGTCAATAAATTCAACAGCTTGGCCACCTTTAAGGCTTGTCAGTGGTGCTTCAACAGCTGGAAGACGGTAAATGGTTAATTTGGGAAGACCATTTTCACGTTCATCAAGGACTAGATGATCCCTAAAAAGTTCTATACCCTGAATCTTCACGCTGGGAAAAAATAGTAATGTAAGCTTACAGAAATGCAGACCCTCTAAGAACTTAGAAAGGTTGAAGGCAAAAAATTAAAATTAAGGCACCATCAAATAACTTCATTTCCAAAATAAGCAATAATATAAATTTATCGAAAGTTTCCAACATGATGCAGGAAAAAGATTATATAACTGATCAATCAGAAAGGGGGAAACAAAGAAATAAATTGCCACAGTAAGCTGTTGATGTAATAATCCCATCAGTGTTGAAGTTGATAGATGCAAGCACAAATAGATTAACATTATTATGATGATACAATGAGACTTCTCATCTTCACTTAGAAATTTAAATCCATTTTTGTCAATACTTAAATAATTAATTCGAACTAACAGCGAAACTGCTCCACTACCTTCTACAATAGCTAAGCACACTAAAACTTCTTTGCCAAAAAAAGAGTTACTTCTACATAGATCACTCTACATACTCTAATTAAAGGAGATAGATATGAGCTAAGACTTATTATATAATGTCAATGCAACTGAGATAAGCATTAAACACTTGTTCCTACCTTTCCCTGTGGGGAATAAGAACTGTTGTTGCTGAGGTATTGTCCACTGGACAAGCTACAAGTTCTGAATTGAAGAACTTATCACTTCTCCTCGTAAAAAAAAATTGATTTCCACGGTGGCTAGCTGCCGTGTCAATTCCATTTATACGAGGTGTCAAAACTTTAAGCCCATCTTCAGGCTTTGAAGCATCAAGATAAGAGACAAACCTCGTAGTTTTACTTTCAGATGCAATAAACAAAAATTTCTCACTCTCAGAAGCAAGAAGATCTAGAGAAAACATGTCATCCTTCTCATGGTAAAGGCAGGAATCACTTGACTGTTCCGAATCCAACTTATGTAACCACACCTATTGAAGGAAATAAAAGAAAAAGTTAATAGAAAATATACAATCTAGGACATTAAAGTTCTAGTTAGCATAATAAAAGAGATAAATTTTCAGTCTGAATAAGATTTTTATTTTCTGTTTAGGGCCCAATGCATTAAATCAAAGTAAAGCAACTATTTCAAATGATAAATTGTTAGAAATTCAAACATATGCTTTCTTAGTTTTTCTTGAAGCACACCTTAATTCAAAGCACAAGGTTCCATAAAGATGTTAGGATCTTTGCATTGCCCAAGGTCTATAGTGTATACAAAGTACTTGCCTAAGTGAAATAAGGCATTAGTTTCTAAAAAGAAAATAAATATATCTTTTTTTTGGTACATCAAACGATGGGCTATACAACAGGAGTTATTTCTCCCCTTCCCTTAATCCCTCCCCACCCATCTCAAAGTTCGAACTTGAGATCTCTAAGTTGGGGTCTCAAGTTCTTAACCACTTGAGACACCCCATGGTGGCAAAAAAGAATATATATAATGAACTTAAAAGTATTTAATTCTTTAATTAACTTTTGAAAGTTTTTCTTTATTCAATTTCCCTTATGTACTCTAAAGATGGATCATGACAATAATTGACTAAAAGTCAACATAAGACTCTAGCTCTAAGTATCCCTGGCTTACAATTTATTAAGATTGATAATCTGCCATACACTACAGTCAACCCTGAATTACCATCTGTCTCCAAAATTTGGTTGAGAAGTTGAAGCCATTGGTTTTGGTTTTGAGTCACCATTTTATCATTCTTGTAAAAGGAATATACAATGTCAATTCAAAGTATAACTCATTGGCCAAAAAAATTTAAAGTATAACTATAAAACAATAACATAATAAAATCCAAAGCGACAGTTCAATCAAGAATCCTCATCACCCTTTTTCTTTAAGAAACATAATTATGCAGAACAGGTTAGGGGGTATGGTGGGCTTTTGGATTTAGAGGCTGTTTAGGGTAGAAAAAGAGGAAGAAAAAGAAAAATAACAGGAAAGATAGAAAATCCTAGGAGTTACACCTAAGTTTCTTTAGGTAACACACCTAAAGAGGATAAGAATCCTAAATGATCAAACCTAAGGTTGGTCGTATCACGTAGTCTCAAGAGCAAACCCTTGTTGCAAATTTCTAAATATTCAATTGACTAGACTGAATAATGAAAGAAGTTACAAGCATATTTATAATCCTAAGATAAACTAAAAATTACAGGAGTTACAAACTGAACAAGCAAGCAGCTATCAAGCAATATCTTCCATAAGAGCTGAATTGAATCTGAAACTTAAAAATGAAGTACACAGAAACCATACCTTGTCTGGCCGAAGGATCTCATCCATTGTAATGTACACTAAAGCATCATTACCAGCCCATTCAAGATATGATGTTACTCTTTTTAAAGGCTTACCCACCAGAGCTCTAGTCTCCGCATCAATCACATAGACTGTATAAATTTCATCTCCTTTAACGTCTTCCGCATATGCAACCAACTTATGATTTGGACTCATCTGGAGAAAGGAAAAAAAAAAACAAAATGAAAAACCCATATAAAAGCAAATTTTTGCAGTAGAAAACAAGCACTTCAAATCTGAGTTCATGACACAAACAGCTAATCTTACAGTCTTACCTTGAAGGCACCAATGCTATAATACTCATGCTCTTGAGCCTTAACATTCTCATCCAAGATTATATGCTCAGGAGGAGCATCAGGTCCCATGGGCATGGTATCATTGACAGAGGGAGGAACATCACTGTTGGGAATAAGGCACCTGCAATGTTGAACATATTCCTTCCCCTCCAAGGTTCTTTCATAGTAGTAGTAGGGCCCTTTACGCTTAGGTGCAGATATATCATCTTCCTTAACTCGCCCTCTTATCTCAGTAAAAAGTTCAATTTCAAATTGTTTAGTACCTGATACAATTGCCATGCATTAATTAAACAGTGTTCCAAACAACATAAGGATTTTAGCAATTAATAACCTTAAATTTTGTTGATAATTTCATTCTCAAAAGCCATAATTGTATGCTGAAAAAGAATTTTCCAAAAAGGATAAAGTGAAAACAAAAATATTCGCAATGTCAAAGCTATTTCTTTGTCATGATATATAAATATGGTACCGTTTAATTAAAATTCAACTCTAAGTACTCAATTTTGTTCTCAAAACCCCAAACTAGAACTAATATGATCTTTAAATTTCCAATCTGATATTGGGAAGCTGTAAATTTCAAGAAAAGCTCTAAATATATTAATACAATTATAAAAGTACCGACAAATATTTTCATTATAATTACCAGACATTAAACATTCTAAAGGCCTAACACTAAGCGCCTGTTTGCTTACCGGATAAAAATGCTTATTGGAAAAGAATGGTTACTAAGGGTGTTCATATCCGATCCAATCCGATTGATTTGACCTAAATTGATCCAATCCAATCAAAAACCGATCCAAACCAATATAAAATTGGATTGGTTTGAATTATAAAATTTTAAAACCGATATAATTGGTTTGGTTTGTAATTTTACTTTCAAACCGCCCGAACTGCCTGATTATAAAATAAAATTCAATTACAAGATAACTTAATTAAATAATATAATATATTTTTGTAATATTTTAAAATTTCTTTTTCTTATTTTACAAGATAATAACTCCATTAACTTAATTAAAAAATAAAAATAGAACATCTCCATATTCCCTAAGTTATTTTTCCATTTTAATCATACACTCTAACCCTAATTTTAAATTTCTAATTTACTTATGACTCTATCCCCTCAAAACTGGTTTATGCCTTTACTCTTAGAACCCTAAATAAGTATTATTCTAAAAGTTTTAAAATTATATAATAAAATTAGTTTTGATATTCTACTATTCTTGGATATTTGGTTTAGAAGTTTTAAATTTTGATTATGAATGCTTTTAATCAATTTTAGTGATATTTATGTTAAATTTTATTCACTTTCAACAGAATTTAGAAGATGAGATTAAATTATTAATTATACATTAAGAAAAAAAATTAATTTTAATCTTTAAAAATCATTTACGCTGTGCTAAAAACTTGAAATGATCTTTTATTGTTCTTGGTACCTTTAATGATGTAACCAAGAAGAATTGTAAAATCTTTTCAATTTTTACAAAGGTAAAGGAGTATAAGAACTCATTTATAATTTATACTTTTTATTATGCTTTTACTGATTTACATGTTAATGTGTTTTATAATTATGCTTTCTATTTGATATTAAAATATTTTTACATTATCTCATATATTTAATAATGTTAAAAACCGATCAATCTGATTGAACCACACCGATCCGATTTAAATTGAATTGATTTGGTTATCAAATAACAGTGGATTGGATTAGTTTAAAAATTTTATTAACCAATTAAATTAGATTGATTTAAAAAATATTAAACTCTGAACCAAACCACACCATGAACACCCCTAATGGTTACCACGCAAAAATTGCTGAAACAGATTATGTTTGATATAACTTGGAAAATGCATTTTCTGTTCTAAATTATTTATTATTTTCCTTACTTTTAAACGGAGATTTTCTCTAGGAAAAATAACTAATTATTCGTTTGAGTAGAACAGCTAATTTTTAGTAAATGTGGAAAAAGTTATTTGTAAATACAGAGCCAACCAAACAATCAACAAAATTTGTCATGCTAAATGACAATCAACAGAGTCAACATAATCAAATTAATTGAAAAATTGCTTCAATAGAGAAAAAAAAAAAGGAAAAAGAAAAATTGCACATTTTCCCACTTAAACTCTTCCGAGAAACAAACAGAAAACTAGTGAATGAATGTACCAGACATCATGGCATCGGTGTAGGCATTCTCTTGCTGAAGATAAGAGATGACCTCGGGATTTGATCGGGAGTCATCACGCAGCCAATAGTAATTATCAACTCTGACGTCTCCGAACATCTCCATGACGTGCTCCACCTTCTTCGCGAGCGGCGGCGAAGACTGGGGCTGAGACTGAGACGTCATCGCAGTTGCTGTTGATAGCGAGTTGCGAACTGGAAGTGTAGAGTGTAGACGCGATACGTTGATGGAGGGCAGTTCCCACGACAAGAGAATTACAGAGATAAAAGAGGGTGCCTAGGGTTACTCGCCGGCAGAATATTGTTCGCTGCATTTTTTATTCTGCGATTTTCCTTCCGCGGAAAATGGTGACAACTTTTTTTTTAATAAATTTTAATAAAATTGATGTATTACTTAAATAA